CTGCAGTTTCTCAAAGCCCCAGGTGAGACTCTCTTGTACGCAGCTGGCGTAGTCTCCCACTTGTTCTCCAGTGTCTTGACGGCTTCCCTCACCTCGGCTTCCGGTCTCTGGTGATCACTTCGGATGGACTGCAAATCTTCTTGCGTTTCCTTCCAACGCATGTGGGCAGACTCAGGTCTCTAGACTTGCAATTTTCTCCGAGAGAGGACGGCTAGCCAAATCTTGATCTTGAATAAACCGGGTAATCTCTTCGAGTGCCAAAAGACGTTGTGACAGGGTCATGGGTGAGTCAACCGCCAGGGGGAGAAGGGCACTTGCATCAATATCTTGTTTTCGGACCACAAATGCTGAATACTCTCGCATAGTAGGGGTAGACGACTCCATGACGCTGACTTGCGCTTGTTGGTCTCGGAGTTTCTGCAGGAGGTCGGCTTGGCCATGAGCAAGTCTTCTGATCTCCTGCTGCATCGTCTGCATGTCGAAGTTCGGTGGGGGGCTCAAGGACCTAAAGTCAATCTTCTTCTGATAGAGCGCCGTGTCAACTAAGTTTTCAAGTTGAGAATCATGGGAAATGAGAAAACAACTTGAAACTTACGATGAACCTCCTTGGGATCTGGTGGGCTGACCTGCCGAGAACGGGATACCGAACGCGAACCTTCTGGCCGGGACGTGCGCTCAACAGGTGGGGGTGTAAAGCTTTGTTGGATATAATTGACAGCCAAGCCCAATTCTATAAACGAAGTCAGCAAAGAATAACGAGTTTCATGAATTTTTTACCCGGCTGCATTGCTAACTCGGGCACAATCCACTCCATCTCACTGGCTGGCGGCCCAATCTCCCGGCCCTTTCCTTTGTCAGTGTTGGTACCGACCTCAGTCTCAGTGCTCTTGAAAATTGCCGATGTGTGTGGTGTGGGTGGCTCAATGATTATGGTGGGAGTCACCTGGCCCACGTCTTTGTCAGCTTTTGGAATGGCACCGACCTCGGTTTCCTCATGTTTGACTTCGGCCATCTCTATGTCGATACCACCCTCGGACTTCCCCTTTCCCATTGTCAGACCAACCTCCATGTCCACGTCAATGGCATGCTCCGCATCATGCCCGACTGCAGCCATTTCGACATCCTGCTTGCCCTTCTCTTTGACATCCGGCTTCACCTTCTTCACCTGCGGCTTCTTTGACCTCGCTTTCTTCCTCACAATCTTCACTTGGGCATCTCCCCCAGAGACTGTGGCTGTTTCAAGATCCTGCAACCCCTTTTGGATCTCGTCTTCGACCTTACTGTCAGTGTCCTTTTTCTTGGTTACTGCATATGTGCAGGTTGTCTTACCCATACTGCAGGTGAAGCAGGATCCTTGTTGTGGGGGGGAACAGATAGCGCATGGAACAATGTCTCGATCTTGGCGTTTGCTGCAGGCCTCACAGGGTATATCTGCAAGCTGATAATTGCCTTTTGCAATTGCGGCATTCTGATTTGCAAGACGTTTGGCAGTTTTGGCTTGCCTTAAAGCAGCCATGGCGGTCTTGGGAGGACTGGCGTCGGGGTCTAACTTGGGCCTTCGGATGAGACTGAGGCCGGCACTGGGTGTCATGCGGGAGAAATGGGGCTGGGACTTAGGTTTAACCGCCTTTGCTTCCCCACCAACTGGTTGAAGTGACTCCGACTTCGGCTTCAATGTTTCCTCATCACTGCTGCTGTTGATGAACTCCGCGCTCACAACTCTGGTCTTCTTTGGCCTGGCTTCGATCAAGTCCCCTTTTCTTTTTTTGCTTTGGACTGGGGCAGCGGTGTCGTTAGGAGTCACCTCTGATTGTGGCTGGGCGCTGGACCTGGCCTTGGGTTTCCTTCGTCCAGACTTTGTCTTACTCTTGGACTTCGTTTCAGCCGCTGGCACAGGATCGGTTGATTTTGCCCGACATGTTGGTTTTGTTGGGGCTGGGAGCGATGATGAAGCTGTCGG